TTTTAGTTTTTTCAATGGATTTGTTGAAAATGAATTACACATAAAATCATCCACCCAATCCGACATAAATGTCCACTAATGGCCAATATGACTAATAATTAATGAATTAATTAAATAAATGAACAGACAATTTCTTATCCTTCTCGTCCTGGAAAATTTAAAAAACCCGGTGAAGTCTTAACATGATGCATTTAACAAATGAATACATTTAGCAAGGAAGTGGCCTTTGTGCAGGCTGGAATCCCTCCTGGGTGTGTGTGGAAGGTGTGTGGGAGTCTTGTGTGGGCTCTCCCATACAGAGGGGCTCTAAAGGCCAGCCTACACACTCAGGACCCCGCCTCCATCCCAGTCATGACATCCTGCTGGAGTCTGTCAGCAAACAGCCAGCAAGGCAGAAAGCTTAGAGCGGGAGGAACACAAGGAGCCCGGAGGAGGACAAAGGCTGTGTGAGGAGAGCGTGTGAAGAAAGGAAGAAAAGCGTATGATATGGAGTGTGAGGTGGACGGGGATGCAGAAAGTGTGTGTCGGTGTGATCCTGGTGTGCAGAATAGGCCCACTCCTACACTCACATTCCTGTGTATTATACGGAAGTCAACAGGACTGACAGTATGGACACACATCCTGGACAGCTGCACAGTGAGCAGTACCTGCAGCAGGAGGGAGCGTGAGTGTGTGAGTGTGTGTGTGTGTGTGTGTGTGTGTGTGTGTGTGTGTGTGTGTGTGTGTGTGTGTGTGTGTGTGTGTGTGTGTGTGTTAGTGTGAGTCAGGGCTTTCTGTTGCAGCTCCGGACTCATACTCATTTGTGAGCACATGTAAAAGAAATGGGCAAACTTACTCTGTTTACTTTGTATTTATTATAGTGGAAAATCCAGGTGAATTTACATGTATATTTATTTAAATGACAGTATTTAAGTCTGAAATCTAATGTTTCAAAATGCAAATGAGGCAGTCTCTTATTTACTATGTGCATACTTTTCTGAAACAGAAATATAACTATCAGATATAGTCAGCTTCAAATTTTGCGTTTCATATTCTGTTCATTCTAGATTTAAAGATGTATAGACAGAGGGGATTTTGGATTTCTCTTTGTTAAGAATTAGCCTTTTTGTTATGTGATAAAAATGAAAAAATGAAAAATATACAGTATATCAATGTTAAACTTTTCCGATTGTATGAGCACTTGTTTTCTCAAATTGGATGTTAACAAATGCAAATAAGTGATTATCTGATACTAACTTCTGCTGAATGCAGAAAAAATCAGAACAAAAATAGACAAAGCTAATCAAATAAACACCTACTTTTTTATGTTGCCCCTATTCTGGAGACATGAACATCAACAATGTCAAAATGTATCAGTTCATGAGAAGCTGTGTTTCTGCCTGCAGTCTGGCAACGCATATTTTATAGGATCAAGATCATGCCCCCATCAGTGGACTGTAACAGTTTTGTGGTACTTGTGATTTTATGTATCATTTTTGATTTCTCTTTCAAAAAAATATGTTCATCGGGGGACACTGTATTTGAACTCTACCTATCTAGCACCCAAAAGCAGTGTATAAACGCTTCAATATTGAATGGTTTATGTATAGTAATCTGGTTGTTTAACACACAGTTGAGAGTAGATCCTAGTGCTTATTCATGTTTTTGTTAACAAATAACCCTCCTGTGGAAAAGCACACCTAGTATTATCATTATAACTGTCAATAAGCAAACAGGCTTGCAGATATTTATCATGACAATCGCGCTCAAATGTTGGCAGTAGTGTTTTGCAATTTTGTATTAAAAAAAAGAATCAAATCAAATGAATACATCTTCCCTCTCTGTATTTATAGCCAAAGCTATAGCAAAACTCATAGAAAGACCCTCGTACAAACTCACAGAAATCAACAAGAGACAAGACATAATAATCCATTGAACATAATGAGTGTATGAGGGTATCTCCCACCACACTTTGGGCCTTGTCACCTAAAAGTTGTTAGCATGAAGAAGTTCATAGGGTTTCAATATTATCCCTGTCCCAAGGTCGGCAGTTTATATGAGTCAAATAATCAAACACAATCATGAATATGCAGCATGTGTGCAAAAGAAAAAAAACATAAAATAAAAGAGGGCTTAAACTACATTTGAACACAGGGCCCCTCTGAAAGACAGGGCAAAATGTAGGATAACTACAGAAGGACTCATCAGCTGGGACTGTATAAAGGCAACTTATGATTCATTCAATGAGTAAGTCATAATAAGTAAAGACGACAGAACTTCTCATGACTGTAAGTCTGTTCATACTATTGATCTCATTCTAGACTCATTTTGAGAGTAAGCACGGAACAACCGGTTCATGGAGGGGCACCATGAGGAGGCTGTTCATTTTTGGACATGTATATCATAATTACATTTATTAACATTAGCAAAAGTTAAGATTGTATTTATGTGGTAAATGGCAGTGGGGATATTGTGCATCCTATTTTAATTTCACACACACGCACACCCACACACACTATGCAAATGCAGCAGGCTTCTAAGAGCCACAGTCTGTCGAGCAGCGCCCCCTGGTGGTAAAGCATATTTGAGACAAGGATTTTATATCTTTGGAGGAAAGTAAGTCATAAAGTGAGATTTCTGTTATATAAGTGATTTCATGTTTTCGTCTCACATTCTTAGTTTACCTTTTTATGTTTTTATAAATATTTGTATTCTATTTTATTGTATATTTTCTTTTTTGGGATATTTTACTTGAACCTTTTATGTTTATCCAAATATATCCACATTCTTCCTATAGCTTTTTTAATTAAAATAAATTCGAATTTAAATGTAATCTTTTATTTATTTAATTCCAAAATGGAGCAACAAAAGCCGTTTTCTTATTCTCATCACCTAAACCAACACTCAACACAATGATTACAAGTGCCATAACATAAAGCAATACAGACTAACTAAGATGCACACTCCTTATTTCTCCCCAGTGTTTGATAGAATCGTAACTGTGTGATGATCTGATGTTATGGATGAGTGTGTGCACATCTCTCTATTGCTCTCTTTAATTTCAATGGTGTTCCTGTGCTGAGAGGCCCCTGCAGCCCTGTGACAATGACACCACTGTGTTATTAAGCTTTGTGCCGTACTATATTCATCTGACCCCCCCTTCATCTCCTCTTCATCCGACCCGCCCCTCCTGTTTCTCCGGCAGCTTCTTGCAATAGATCCCCTCTTTCTTCTGCCTCTCTCCAGTTCTATCTTTTATTCAATGAGCAGTGACTCAGTTCTCATCTGTCTGTTGTTAGCACCACAGAGTTCCTGTCAGTCAGAGCTGAGGGCCCAGCTATGTAGGAATGCTGTAGTTAGCCTTAATGTACACAAACTGTAAACATGGGTTACCACATATTCATAGTGTATTAACATCATAGATAACACAAAGATACATTGTGTAATTGTGTTTATGTTGGTATTTAGTTGTGTAACAATTCAAAATACTAAATAAATGAGATAAACTAAGGTGTAATAAAAAAAGGGAAAACACCATGATGAAAACATAGCTGTGGGAAAGAAAATGTGGTGGATACATTTTTTCTTTTCGCTATGGGTATTCTTCTGAAAACAAATGACTAAACTAATTGTTTAGTTATTTAGGAACTTATCAATTACATTGATCTAATTTTACGACAGTTAATTAATTTCCTGCAATTGTTTAAGTTGAATGAGACAATAAATGCATTCCTTTTAGGATAGCATCAGTAATTCAATGGATTGGGGATCCACTTTGTAGACTGTATCCGACACCTTTAAAGTGTGTGTTTTTGTTTCTTAAACTGAACACAAGTATAGTTTATTAGAGAAGTCAATTGGATATGTAGGATCTCTGCAATTGAGAACCTGCTGCAATCAACATCAATCAAGGAAATCTATCAAGGGATCTGTAATGGATCCTCATGGTCTCTATACGGAAGCAGATATGAGCTGGGCTCCATCTAGTGGCATGATATGGAGCTAATCTGTTTATAGATAACTATGACCAATCTCCTGAAGTTAATGCAAACTGTGCAAGTGCAATAGTACACTGTACACTCCTGAGGAGGAGGAAACTCAAGGTAATGTGTACATTTGGAACCATTCAAATGTACACTGTAAAAAAAAGAAGCAAACCAGGGCCTGAAAACAACAGACACACACACTGAAGCTCAATTATTGCACATACCAAAAGGAGGTTTAAAAAGACAATAAGTTAAAAAAAATCCAACATTTCATTTAAAAGCAACCAAGCCATCACAATATATTTCTCACAGTAATGATAATAGAGTAAAAACAGGAATTATACTGTCATACACTAATCATCAGAATTGACTATACACCTACAATGTTAAATCCTTTTTCTCCGAGCTTCAATGAGATTTAGAAACAATGCAGATCAAACAGGATGCTTAACAATTCACATGAGTAATAATACACATGTCTTCAAATAGCCATATACCAGCAAATAGCACAGAAGAGTTAAAGTGACTGCAGTGAAATACAAATTAAAAAAATGGTACAAAACTTCAAAAACATTCCCATAAATCATTCACTTAATACCAGATAACAAATTAGGATTAGGGTTAGGGTTAGGGTAATGTTGTGAATCGAGTGGCCCATGGTGGTGGTGTGGTTATGGTATGGGCAGGCGTATGGTATGGGCAGGCGTATGTTATGGACGATGAACACAGGCCACTCGATTCACAACATTACCCTAACCCTAACCCTCACACCAGATACTGACTGGTTTTCGGACCCCCCCACCAATAAAGCAAAACTGCACGTTTCAGAGTGGCCTTTTATTGTGGCCAGCCTAAGGCACACCTGTGCAATAATCATGCTGTCTAATCAGCATCTTGATATGCCACACCTGTGAGGTGGGATGGATTATCTCGGCAAAGGAGAAGTGCTCACTATCACAGATTTTTTCAGATTTGTGAACAATATTTGAGAGAAATGGTTATTTTGTGTATATAGAAAATGTTTTAGATCTTTGAGTTCATCTCATGAAAAATGGGGGCAAAAACAAAAGTGTTGCGTTTATATTTTTGTTTTGTGTATATTTAAAACAAGGTATCCATATAGCTATACTTTCTGTTGAAAAACATTTTGTTTCTATGAGATAGGGTTGTCAGGGGATACCCTAGAAATCTTAACCCCAGATGTTTTATCTCACTGAAAAATCAATAATTTATGGATCACATGATTGCAAATGACACAACATGGACATTTTTGGTAACGTTTTAAATAATCTATAGTGCTTATTATCGGCGTAGCTGGTTTATTATAGACCTTTCAAGTGAGGCACTACAGGAAGTTCCCCCCCAGACGGAAGGGGGTGAACTTCTGGGCCTGCTGAGCCCCGATCTCTGCCACATACAGAGCCCCCGTCTTCAGGTCCAGGTCCACAAGGTGGGGCTTCACCTCCTCAGCCAGCTGGATCACACTGACCACCCTGCACTGGCCGATCAGACCCATGGGGGGAGCCTCCAGCAGCGAGATCTGGTTGGTGTTCAGCTGGACCACCACAAAGTACTTCTTGTCTGGGGTCAGGCGGACGGAGTAGGGGGCGTCCTCGGAGAAGCAGCTCCCCCAGGTCCCCAGCCACTCCCCGGTGATGGAGTTGAACACCTGGATCCTCTTGTTGCCCCGGTCGGCCACCCACACCCGGTGGTAGTCGTCCACGGTGACGCTGTGGGGGATGTAGAACTGAGCCATGCCTTGTCCTTTCTCTCCGTGCATCCACATCACCTCGTGGTCTTTGGACAGCTTGATGAGGCGGTTGTTCATCCCACCGTCACCATCCACGATGTACATCTCTCCGGAGGGGTGGACGAAGATTTCAGCCGGCTGGTCGAACTGGAGGGGGTTCATCCCAGAGCCCGCCTTCCCAGGAGCCCCCAGCACCTGAGAGTGAGAGGAGAATGAGAGGAGAGTGAGAGGAGAGTGAGAGGATACCACTCAGCAACATGCTACATTCAGATTTTCAGTAGAGTGGCGCACAGATAATGTACTTTTGTAGGACAAATAAGAAGTTAGCATCACAAGGGCTTTCTCGAAAAAAACAATGGGATCCTTCCATAGGATTTTAGCAAAGGTGGGAGAAGTACTCAGATCTTGTACTTAGGTAAAAGTAGAAGTACCAGAGTGTAGGAATACTCTGTTACTCAAGTAAAAGTACAAAAGTAAAATATAGTGAAAGTAGTAACAGTAAAAATAGTGATTGTGCAGATTGGTCAATTTCAGAATAATATATATGATATGTTTTATAAGGATTGATCATGAAAGTGTTATCAAAGCTGGTAAAGGTGCAGCTAGTTTGAATGACTTTGTATACTGCAGGGTAGCTTGTGAATTTACTCCAGGTGGAACTAAAGTCGGATTTAACACTTTTTCACATCATTCATCCACATCTGGGAAGTAACTAAAGGTATTAAATACATGTAGTGGAGTCAAAGTACACCATTAACCTCTGAATGGTAGTGGGGTAGAAGTACAAAGTAGCAGTTAAAGTGCTAGTATCTAAAAATTGTACCCAAGTAGTGTACTTGAGTAAATATATTTAGTTACCTTACACCACTGGATTTTAGAATATTACAGAAAACACGTTAGACTATAAACAAACTACACAGCATTTGCAGGGCTGCATATCCCCACCGCTAAACTAAAGCTAATGTTGGGCGGGATTACATTTAGAGTGTCATTTAGTAAATTATTAGCAGCATCCGTTTTTAAGGTATATAAGCTTTGGACAGTCATGAGTTTGGTATTTACTGACGTATATCATGTTTTTATGTCACAAAACAATCCTGTGTTAACCACAGACCTTATTTCAGCCAAAAACACGTTTAACAAGATTGTTGACTTCTGAAGGCCGCTACACACCAACCTGAGACCAAAGAACGCGTACCGAAAGCGTCCCGACTTTTACGTCGCCTGCGTCGGCTATGCCGCCCGCCTACGAACACACCGCAAAGACTTCAGTTGACGAGTGGCAATAACTGTCCTTACCAGCAGGCAGCGGTAGTGTGTATTCGTCATTCAAAAGAGGCAACAGCCAATCAGAGTGATTTCTTTGGCCGACTTTCTTTGGCCGATTCAACATGTTGAATCGGCCGCGGGAGGTGTGAAAATGTGCCGTAAAGCAACAACGGTGCGGGACACACCAACCTGAGTAGGGCGCCGCGAATGCCCGACTGCCTCTGACGGCCTGACTCCCAAAATCGGGTAGGTGTGTCAGGGCCTTAAACGAGGGAACAGGAAGTGGTGACATGCTAACTCATTTCCGGATTTCGGGGACTAAGTCCTGCACCACTTTATTCTACATAACAAAAGAAATACTTGAATGGAAAAGCTAGTGGAAGCCAAAACAAAGATGTTTTAGTGACAAACATAATCCTGGAAAAGCCTTTACCTGCAGGAGCTTCCCAGACGGGGAGTACTGTTTGACGCTGTGGCCGTACGGGCCGTTCCCCACATCTGTGATCCACACCGTGGGGTTGGCTGAGGCCGCGTCAGCTAGGAATATACCATGGGGCATCTCCATGGTGGTTGTGTTCCAGGACATGAGGAACTCCCCCTCTGTGGAGAACACCAGCACCTTCGGCACATCGGCACCTGAAGGCCAAGCAAGTCAGCATTAAAGCTCAAATCAAACAATCATCAGGTTTCTAGTGATGCACCCTTTATGCATCGTTATTTAATCGTGATCAGAATCAGAATACCTTTAGTAGTCCAACAGAGGGGAAATAATGTACATATCATTTACAAATCAAAGCCAACTTTATTGTCAATCTTCTGTGTGTGAGATCAAATGCTTTGTACACAAGCGATTATTAAGAACAAGTTTAAGTTCCCATTATTTGTTTCTCAATTTTTACAAGGCAATGAGTCAGCAGTAAGAAATGTAAGAAAGTATGCTGTAAATCAAATAATTTATTTTTTTTGTTTTTTGTGCCGTGTGCATAACCCCTAATACTCACTAGAGCAGTGGTTCTCAACCGGTCAGGCCTCAGGACCCACTTTTTCCTTTGTCAATAAATCGCGACCCGAAATTTGAACCACTCAGATCTATTCAGCAAAACATTGTTCTGTAATATATACACTTTTCAGCATACAATATTAATTAAAGTGAAGTACAGTGCATATATCCCTTATATCCCTTCACAGAACTAAAGTATGCTTTTAAAAAAGGTTTAATGAGATGATGGAATCAAAGCTGAACTGTATCACATAAAAAGGCACACATGCTGAAAACCCAACCCCAGCAGGGGGGTCTGGGGGGATTCTCCCCCATGAGATTTTTAGAAATACTAACATATAAACTACGCATTCTCGTACACTCTGAGAAGAAAATAAATACAAATATTACTACCCGACATATTAATAATATTTTATGCCATTGTTTGTTTTTCACTTTGTCTGAAGCTGAACTTGTCTGTGTGAATTGTGGGTAGGGTAGATAGCCCCCATTGTTCTGTGACCTGTCAATCATCAAACCGGGGGTCATATTTCATTATGTGTTCATTTTTATCTGAAGTTATACCCGTGGATGTATAAAGAATAGTTCTACCGCAAAACTATTTTGGTTTTTTTCTTCACCAGTTGAGAACTACTGCACTAGAGCACAACATTAGGATTATTTGTTGCTAAAAAGAGTCCCCAACAAATACACAATTTATTTCTAAATGTGGTAAAATTATCCTTTACAACCTCAGCTGGAACCAATGGGCTTGGGGCTGATACACATCCACCAATATAAAGAGTCTATTGCACTGAATTATCAGTTTGCATTATTTAACACAAAACATATGTAAAACCTCTCAGAGCACATTTTAGCATTCTGTGGAAAATGTCAGAATTTTGCATTATCAAGGGAAGATATCATTGATCAGGCTAAACTCCTTAACCAGAAGTATAGTTAATGTGTAGAAAATCTACAGCTCTGGAAAAAAATAGACCACTCCAAATGTTCCTTAAATCTCAATCTACATGTATGGAAGCCATTCCATTCCAAAGTCTGTTGAATTACAACACAGAGAAATGCTGTCAGTAGTAATAATACATAATAATAATAATAATAATAATAATAATAAAAGAAATGTTTTTTTAGTCAAACACATACATATATATGGCAAAACCAGAGAAATGGCACATGTTGCAGTGGTCTGCATGAATCCACTCAAAGAAAACATGCTAAAGCACTCATTGTCCCATATTTAAAAAACAACAGGTAACAGATAGTGAAAGTGTGATCTATTATCAAATAGGTTTGTTTTAAATGGACTTCTCAAGTAACTTTTCATAGACTCTTGTCTTACTTTACTTGAAATAATACAATTAAGTTGACTTAATCAGTTCATTTTATCTACGTACAAAAAATGAAGCAGTTTGCTCAAGGACTGGTGTTTCCTGATCTACAGAAGGAACTGATACAACAACGTTTCCTTCAGTTCCTAAAGAGCACCAAACAGGATCTTCTTCATTCTTTACACACCAAATAAAGCGAAATGTAGATTTGCCAGTTCTTGAAGAAGTATTCAGCAGATACTTTACTTAAGTTAAAGTACAAATACTATGGTCATAAAATACTCCACTACAAACAAAAGTTGGGATTTCAAAATGTTACGGTAAAAGTACAAAATTATTAGCATCAAAATGTACTTAAAGAACGAAAGTAAAATTACTCATTCTGCACAGTGACCCATTTCAGAACAATATATTTAAGTTTTATCAGCCAAGTGTACTTCAAGTTAAAAAAAAAATGGAAGTACTCGTTATGCAGAATGGATCTTCTGACAGTATTTGATCATTATGTATAATATATGATCCTCTTTGTATACATGTAAGAGCATTTTAGTGTTGTACTTTGTCTTTGTGGACCAACTTTACATCTTGAAATGACAGAAGTTGTAACTGCAATCCAGCATGTGTGTGTAAGGTTGTAGCCCAGTCATTTTGAATTGCAATGGAAACCATTAGAAATGTGAACGTATGATCAGATGGAGAAGCACTTTATTTGGAGGTCAAAACCCAGCGCGCACACCTGTACTGTTGCTGCTGATAATCCCTTCATTTGGCAAAAAGGAAATAGCAGTGAGGAAAGAAACACAGCAATATAGCAGTGGTGGAATGCAATAAAGTACATTTACTCAAGTATTTTACTTGAATATTTTTCAAATGAAGCTATTAATACTTTTACTCCACTACATTTTAGAAGCCACTATTGTAGCCTACTTGTACTCCTCTACATTTATCTGAGAGCTTTAGTTCCTTTACAGATATCAGCTAAATAAAAGCAAATGTGAGAATACTCGTTTTGCAGAAAGGATCTTCTCACAGTATTTTTTTATTATGGGAAGTACTGCATTACATTATATCAGCATAACATGTGATCTGAGGGGAATGTATTTTTGTTTATTTGAATTGGTTTGTGTGCCATTTTGTAAAGCACTTTGAGCTGCACCTGCTGTCTGAAAGGTGATATATAAATAAAGATTATTTTTAAATTATTATTATATCATTTGTTTTTATGTAACTACTAGTAACTATGAGATAATCGAAGTGGAGTAAAAAAAACAATATTCACCTCTGAAATGTGGAGTAAAAGTATAAATCGGAGTAAATTAAAAATACTCAAGTACAGTACAAACCTGTCAAAAACGTACTTTAGTATAATACTTGAGTACTTAGTTACTTTCCAACCTGAAATGTGCTCCAGCTTGATGGACTGTGAGTTAATATATTTACCTCTCTGCGCCACATACACCACCCCCGCGTTCTGGTTGACCGCCACCCCGAACACCTGACCGCTGAACAGCTCCGGCTTCCGGGGCCAACTCAGGTCCAGCTGGTACAGTGGGCTGCCCCGGAGCAGGTAGCCCGGCCGCAGGATGGAGCCGCTCGCCTGCTGGGGCCCGGTGGTCCCGTAAAGCACAACCATGAGCAGCACTAAAGCAGCCATACCAGACGCTAGCAAACAGGTATGGCCTCTCTTCTTATTCAGCATCAGTGGTTCGGCCAACGGCTGCTTTTCCACCTTTAGCTTCCTGTTCAGGTGACTACAGCTCGATGTGTGACAGGATGATTAAACACCGCAGAGAGAACACTCACTTTACTGTAGCGTTAGCGGCGAGGTATGCTGCTATTCAAGCAACGCTTTAATGTTTGTTACGATTATTTAAAGTTCAGATCCAAAGATTTAAATGGAATGCACTTCCTCTATCCAGAAACGAAAACAGTAGGCTTGTTTGAGACGCGTTGCGGCTCGCCTCGAAAGAAGACGAGAATAGCCGATCGCAGCCGGGGAAGGTCTCAAAAAGCTCGCCTGAAGTCGGACAGCTCCGAGTCTTCTTCTTCTGCTTCTTCTTGTGCTTCTTCTTCTTCTTCTTCTCTTGGTTTTTTGGCGGATTGCAAACAACTTTAAGGTGCATACCGCCACCTCCGGAGTCGGCTTGACTCGGTTTGCATTTATAAAGAATGCACATCGTTAATGTCAGATATGTACTAAGTAAATACATTTGTTCCTGCTCAAGATTTGATTCAACTTTATTGTCATTGTACATATTAAAGGTAGCCTACTGAGACAACGAAATGCAGTTTAGCTTCTAACCAGGAGTGCAACAAGCAGTAAAGTGAAAAGTAATGTACACAATCTACAGAATAAAATATAGAATGAATTGAATGATGAATAAACAGTGAGGGGTATGAATATACACAGCAGCCTGTGAGCAGTATGAACAGTGTGTATGAATATGCTAAGATATATAAAGTATGAAAACGGTAAGCAGTGCAAGTATAGTATAACATATATAGATATTAATTTCATGATGATAAACATTATGGAACAATTATGAAAAATGTTAATGGAGGGGGCGACGTAAAAACTGAGATACCAGCGAGTCGTTTCCCATCAGGCATTTCGCTTCCGCAGCCCGTGGAGAGGAACTGCGCCGCCTCGCCGCGCCTCGCTCTCAAGGCTGCGGGCGTCTTTGTCCCGCGAGATTTCAACGTCTCATGTAGGCGAGCCCATAATAGGCTTGTTTGAGACGCGTTGCGGCTCGCCTCGAAAGTAGACGAGAATAGCCGATCGCAGCCGGGGGAGGTCTCAAAAAGCTCGCCTGAAGTCGGACAGCTCCGAGTCGGCTTCTTCTTCTTCTTCTTCTTCTTCTTCTGCTGCTTCGCCTTCTTCTTCTTCTCTCGG